GGGCCCCAGCACCGGCGGCCCGGCCGTGGACAAGTCAACCGGTAGCGGCTCCGCCGCTGGCACGGACACCGTCGGGCCGGCTGCGAGCGCGGACACCACGGGCGCGTCCACCGCCCTCTCCGGGCACGCGCGGATCAGGTGTCCTGCCGCTCCACAACCAAAACATCTCAAAATATCAGACGTTACATGGACAGTATACACAAAATCATCAATTTTAAACTTGAGAGCCAGATTTAATTCCCCTTCATCCTTTTTCAGGACCATCAGCACCTGTCTCCTAAAAGACACAACGTGCTTGAGGTGCGGGGATTTACAGCCCAGGGGGATCATCTTAATGGGAGACGCAAGCTGCCCGTGTCGAGTCAGCTCTCTCTCCAACAACTCGTTTCTAAGAAACGGGGGCACATTTGAAATTATAACTTTTTTAGCAGGAGTGACAAGGGGTAGCACAGGTAATATCGTCCCTTTAATCACTAGCCCGCTCTCCACCAGCTGGTTAGCTTTCTCCGTGCAGTCTAAAAAAATAACCACCGCACTGTTCATGCGGGAGGCAGATTTGACTCTGCCATATCCCACCACAGCCCCCACAGCCAGACCACACTCCTCCACCGACACACCGTCAGGTGGAGAGAGCTTGATGGCGTGTTTGCGAGTCAGCTTCTCCAACCCGGCGCAGCTGCCACGGAACGCCATGCCGGGCGGCGTGACTGCAGCTGCAGCCGCTAGACAAACAATTAGACAAACAAATCACCAGTGCAACCAAACAACACCACCAAAAAACACCAAAGTCGGACAAGTGATGCACAATGACATAAACTATCGCCCAGAGAAAAGTGAAATATTAACAAGGGTTTGAAAAGTTGTAAACTTTAAACGATCGCTCTCCGCTATACTCACCGGTCCACTCACAATCAGAGAGAGAGAGAGAGAGAGAGAGATGTTACAGCTCAAATGCATTGCAATGACTTCCATGTTAAAAAAAAGACTTTAAAAATCTGAATGTTTTAAAAAGTATAACATATTTTGAAAAAGTTGAAAGTGTCCCATCATGTGCTGAAAAGGCTGAATAGTTTGATATTTGAATGGTTCCTGCAGCTGAAATTAGGCTCAAGGAGTTAAATAAAGATATTAAATGTACTGTAAGTAGTAGTGAATGAATGTTTACAAACACCTGTGTGTGTAAACCCAGAGATCAAAGGTTTCCATGGTGTCTGTTCTGATTAGATGATGTCACTCAGGTGTGTGCGTGGCTCCAATCAACACCATGACAACCAACTGCCCATTAGAATGCATTGAGGAGTATATCTGACAATTTTGCCAACTGTTCAAAAACTATGGCTCCTATAAAAAAAATACCAGACCGTGAGCATCAGGGAACCCCAATGAACTGATATATGTTGTTTTTTTTGGTTTTGTGTGTAAAATGTGGAGATAGGAGCAGTTTGTCTAAAGTGTACTTCTCTCTGTTCTGAAGAAAGTTCCGGAAAGATTTAACATGGGAATCAATTGGGAGCTAGCTGGACTTGTTGTCTCTTCATGCCCTCAAGAGGCATTTTGATTAATATTTCTTCTTAATTTTTTTTCATTTTCCAACCTAGGAGAGGTTTTCCTACGTTTTTCATGACAAAATATTTCTGAGGAGTGTAGGGTTTGGGAATTATGGCAAGTTTAAAACATTTTTGGGGGAGAATTTGAAGCACCCCTCCACCCTGTTTTGAGATCAAAGCACTCTAGACTTAACGAGCTGCTCCATCCACACTAATGTTAAAATCTGAAGAAAGCCTCTTTACCAAGCTCCAAACAAAGTTAATTATCTCAAAAAGTGTAAAAGATATCAAAAATAAAAGTCAATTTTGAATAGCTGAATGTGTTGTGATCATTTGAAAGTTGGAATGAAGTGTCTAGCTGAAAGTATGTGGAAGGAGTAGCATTTGGCGCAAAGTATAGGAAAAGAGGATTTGAAGGCATCTCCCATTGACTTCAATGTTAAAAAAAAGAGTTTAAAAAGCTGAATATTTCAAAAAGTATAAAATATTTTTAAAAAGTTGAAGGTTTCCCATCGATTCCTGAACAGGCTGAATAGTTTAATATTTGAATGGTTTCTGTAGCTGAAAATAAGCTGAAGTTATGGAGTGCCAAAGTATTGGCTGAAATAATAATATTAAGGGGAAGAATAAAGATTCGAAGAACTATAGTGGAATGCTGTAAACAGCATTCGCACTAATAAGGGGAAGAATAAAGATTTGAAGAACTATAGTGGAATGCTGTAAACAGCATTCGCACTAATAATAATAAGGGGAAGAATAAAGATTTGAAGTACTATAGTGGAATGCTGTGGCACAGCATTCACACTAATGACCATGTTTGCATGAGAGTAAAAAGCCAGCATTAAAATAAAAGCTGCACACTGTGCCGCTCAGACTCTGCTGTGTAGGGCAGTGGTTCTCAAACTTTTTTCAATAATGTACCCCCTTTGAAAAAAAAATTCAGCCAAGTACCCCCTGATCAGCACAAAAACTATTTGTTAGGGAAAAAATGCCTATATAAAGAGGTACAGTACAGCCTGAGCCTTGCCCCATCAGTGTCTGATTTATTAAAACAACATTGTAACTGAGAAACACTTAAATGTTTACAATCCATCACTAAATTCATGGCAAACCAATTTTAACATCATGCAATAACGCTAAGACGACATTAGTTGCATTGAACTGATCTTTTTAATAAGTTGTACTTACAATGTAGTGAGAAACATGGGCTTGTGCTTCACTGAGGATCTTTGTCATTCTGACAGGGAGGCAACTGCAGTTATTACACTTCGCGTTTTGAAATATGTGTAACTCTGTTAATATAAAACCCACACTGCTCAAACTTCGTAACTTTTCCTAAAATTGGTATATTTATTTATTTATTTATTTATTTTGGGGCGTGGGGAATGAAGAGAAAAAAAAATATGAGCATTTTATGAGCATGGGATTTTTACCCCTCATATAAACAAATGCATAATGCTGCACTATACTTTGCAGCCACAAGCCGTTGCCAAGCAACGCTTATTGTTTAGGTCCTTTGACACGCAGGCAGTCATATAATTAACTAGAACTAGCTAGATCTGATAGATTTGGACATAAACGCGATTGAAGTATAACCGGACGCGAGAGAGAGATCAGAGATCAGATCAGCTGCTGCTGACGGAGAACACGCAGCTCTTCCGGACCACAGCTCCACCCGCTGTGATGGACCGTTTAGCGGAGCAAAATACACTAAGAGTTAGACCTAACACACTTAGCTAGTTTATCTACTCTGGAACTAGCTAAACTAGTTATAAATATGTGTATTCTTTACTGTTGGGCCACTTATTACAGGTTCAGCGAGCTGCACGAGACTGACCGGCTGTCCGGAGACGAGAGAGAGGAAAAGAGAGCACCCCGTTTATTTTTCCCATTTTATTATCCAGAATTACTGTAAACTTTTGAATAAAGTAGTTAATCTACTGTTAGTAGTTTGTTTAAATGCATTAATTATGTTTTTTTTTTAAATTAACATAAAATAAATCTCACGTACCCCCTGCAGTACTCCAACGTACCCCTAGGGGTCCGCGTACCCCCATTTGAGAACCACTGGTGTAGGGCCACGTTATATTTTAAATATTCACAGGGAAGCCGGTCATTGAGCTCAAATGCATGCACGCTGTGGTTTGCACTTTATGTTCACGTTTGCACTTCAGACGTTATTATATGTTAGTTTGTAGACATCATATATTATATTCTGCAGAAGTGATTGAACTCGTCACTATGACCTGTTCTTAACGAGCCTCAGTAACCCTTTACTGCTGCCATTCAAACTGAAGTGATGTCACGTGTTCACAAACTACAGATGGTGGGAAGACTTTGGGATAAATGTACATTTTCCTGCAGTTTCAGAATAAAAGCCTCCGTGTGGAAATAAATCAGAATGGACTTCCTGTTGTTATTCAACCTCTTTCTGAGTTTCATCTTTGCAAAGACTGACTTTTGTTTTGAGCTTTTTCTTAAAATCTTACAATCCTGGTTTCTTTTTGAAAAACTTTTATTTTCTGAAATCTCAACATTTAGATTTGTTTAAAAAGAAAATTAACAGATAATCTCAGAATTCTGACTTTTTTTTCGGAAAGTCTCAGAAATCTTATTTTTACACTTTTATTATCAGCCCCTCTTTTTCTGGGGGGGAGGGGGGATCACTCCTGCAGAGAGCACAGAGACACTGAGGCACCAGGTAACCCAATCCCAAACCCAGCATAGAGAGGTTCAGTGGATGTGGCTCTGAAGGTGTGGAGGTGGATCAGTGTGTCAGAGGAGACTCTGTAGAAGGAGAGAGAGCCAGCAGGATGATCCAGATACACTGCTACTCTACCAGAGGAGGAGGAGGAGGAGGAGGAGGAGGAGGAGGAGGCGATGAGTGCTATTCTGTTGTTGTGCCTGACAGAGTAACCACCACCAGCAGAGCAGTCCAGACTCCAGGACTGATCATTCCATCCAAACCCACAGTCCCCTCTGACTCCTCTCCTGCTGATTCCTCTGTAAGTCACTGATATATGAACCACTCCTCTCCACTCGACCTCCCAGTAACAGCGACCAATCAGAGCTTCTCTACACATCAGCTGAGGCCAGGAGTCAAACCTCTCTGGATGATCAGGATATTTCTGCTCCTCTCTCACACATGTCACCTTCCTGTTGTTGTCAGACAGTTGGAGGTCTCTGTGTGCTGTGTTTGAGTCCAGTGTGAGTCCACAGGAATCTGATGAGAGACACAGCAGGTATTAAAGGTTACTAAAGTCCCTGTGATGTCCCAGTGTGAAGATGTTCATGATTAAAAACACACTTACACTTCCTGAGACCTGGCCTCAACCACCGGACTCCAGCAGGCTCCAGGCTGAAAGCAGAGGGGGGGTCAGTTAGTCTTTAAATGGTCTGATATGTCCACCTCAGTCTGCCTCCAGAAACATCTACAAACACTGAGGTGTCTCTTTTGTGATGTCTATGATCTCCTCTCCAGGTGTTGATCAGGTGGGGGCATGCTTCCTGTGTGCAGCGTTTGTGAGCATCAGGAAATATGGGTTTCTCTTTGGTTCACTGTGCGCTTCATATTTAATACTTTTCAGTTTGTTTTGATGTTTTGTCTCAGTTTCTGCTCTTTGTTTGAACATCATGTTTTCTTTAGCTCAGGTTCCATCATAACTCTGCTCCAGGTAGTTTGCTAAAGTGTTCCTGTCTGATGGCTATGGGGTCAGATCAGTCTCTCAAATAAATAAATGCACACAGAAGGATACACAAATGTGATTCTGGATTTATATATAAATGTTTCCACACATATGTTTCAGTGCACACACAAAAACGTATCATTTTTGGCTCAATATGTTTTTAGAAAGATGGTGATTCCACCGTGGAAACCATGGATGTAATGAAACGGGAAACATGTCCTCCACGATGTTTTGCTGCGCCTGTTTATCTCTGCTATGAAAACTCTGCCATATCGCGAGTGTAGCAAGTTTAGTGCGAGAGAAAAAGGACGTTTGATTTATTTTTCTATCCTCCCGTTATGCAGAAAGTTGAAGACCTTAACATAACGCAGGTAATGACATTATGTTGTGCTCAGTATCAATAAAGTACTTTCTTATCTTATCTAATGTAATTACTGCTGAACCAACAGTAACGCGTTACACTACTGCGTTACAGACAAATGTAATCTGATTACTGTAACACGTTACTCCCAACACTGAAACTAATAAATCCTTATTTTCATTCCAGGGGAGGTTCTTCTGATTGGCCGTTTGCTAGGACTCAGAATAAAACATCTGGAAATGAATCAGTTTATTTATTCATGATGTCACTTCCTGTGCTAAATCTGTGTGAACATAAAAAAAAAACACTCTGTTTCTGTTGGTGGTTCCACGATGAACATTGACCCACTGAGGGTGGGTTTCCTCTCAGTTGAAAATTTGTGTTTGATGCTAACAGCTGACGGCAGACAGTGTGAAGAGTCAGGGTCTAACAGCTCTGGTTGTTTCAGGTCATAGGAGCCAGTTTCTACCTCCTCTATCAGACTGAGTGCCTCTCCATACCTGAGTGTGTCCAGTCCAGCAGACAGCAGCCTCGCCCCTGAGTCTCCTGGATGATTGTAGCTCAGGTCCAGCTCTCTCAGATGGGAGGGGTTTAAAGCTGAGGCCAGAGCATCACAGCCTTCCTCTGTGATCAGACAGCCTGACAGCCTGCAGACACACAAACAAGCCATCAGATAATCTGAGGGTCCAGGACTGGAAGGGGCGGGGCTTATTACTGCATCACCTCTGGGTCATCTCTACACCTAAAACTCCAGTCACTGCTTCACAGTTCAATTGGACAGCCATGGTAAGGGTCTTATTGATATGAAAAGATCATCAAACAAAGGAATAGAGAATAATGTGAAGAAAGACTAGAGAGAAACTTGTGCTTTTCTTATATTGTACTTCTTAAATGTAAACATATATATATATATATATATATATATATATATATATATATATATATATATCTCAAACAGAAGTATTCATGTGTTAATGAGCCCAATTTTCTAATAAATTCAGTCAATTAAATTTTCTAACAAATGTTAGTTTGTAAAAAAAAAGCCCAGCCCAATAACTTATTTGCTTAACAAACCCTTCCTATTTCTCCTTATTATAATCAATCCTTCTGTGTTAAAGGATGAGCCGCCAACTAAATAAAGTAAACCCTCTGTGGAGCGGGATATAGGCTGTGTTTTTCTTAAAGCATATTCAAGTATCAAGAATAATTTACCTACATTTGATTGATCTTTGAGGCAATATACCTCACCTCTAGTGAGGGGCCCAGCCCTTTGCATATTTGTCTGTGTGTGGTACACAAGGGGGGATGTTTTTTTAACTTTAAAGAAGTTTGTGCCAATAAATTGTGAATTGTGACAAATATATTGTGTCGCGTTTCTCTTGAATTATGTTTTTGATGATGGTATTCCCACACCACACAGCATGGCTGAGTCAAACTGTACTGTGCTCTGACCTGAGAGTCTTCAGTTCACAGTGTGGACTCTCCAGTCCAGCAGACAGCAGCTTTACTCCTGAATCCTGCAGATCGTTGTTACTCAGGTCCAGCTCTCTCAGACTAGAGGACTGGGAGCTGAGGACTGAGGACAGAGCTGCACAGCTTCTCTCTGACAGGTTACAGCCACTCAGCCTGAAGAGACGATGAGGACAACCATTATTCAGAAGACAGCAGTGTATTAATAACTGATTCACTAAATCAAATATTCTCTGTACTTACAGAGCTTTGTTGGAGGCTTTGACCACTGGCAGCAGCCTCAGAAGAGCCTCCTCTGAAGCAGAGTATTTCTTCAGGTCAAACTCTTCCAGATCTTTTCCTGATGACAGTAAGATGAAGACCAGAGCTGACCACTGAGCAGGAGACAGTTTATCTCTGGAGAGACGTCCTGAACTCAAGGACTGTTGGATCTCCTCCACTAGAGAACGATCATCCAGTTCATTCAGACAGTGGAACAGGTTGATGCTTCTCTCTGCAGACAGGTCCTCTTCTATCCTCTTCTTGATGTACAGGACTGTTTTCTTGTTGGTCCCTGAGCCACTTCCTGTCTGTGTCAGCAGGCCTCGTAGGAGTTTCTGATTGGTCTGCAGTGAAAGACCCAGGTAGAAGCGCAGGAACAAGTCCAGGTGTCCGTTTGGACTCTGTAAGGCCTGGTCCACAGCACTCTGGTAGAGATCTGTTAGTTTAGGTTTGACTTCAGACTTCTGGGAGGTTGTTGGTTCTTCTGACAGCAGATTGACTCCAGAGTTGATGAAGGTCAGGTGGACATGAAGAGCAGCCAGAAACTCCTGAACGCTCAGATGGACGAAGCAGAATACCTTGTCATGGTACAGTCCTCTCTCCTCTCTAAAGACCTCTGTGAACACTCCTGAGTACACTGAGGCTGCTCTGATATCGATGCCACACTCTCTCAGGTCGGACTCATAGAAGATCAGGTTGCCTTTCTGCAGCTGCTCAAAAGCCAGTTTCCCCAGAGACTCCATCATCTTCCTGCTCTCTGGACTCCAGTGTGGATCTGTCTCAGCTCCTCCATCATACTTGATGTTCTTCACTTTGGACTGAACCACCAGGAAGTGGATGTACATCTCAGTCAGGGTCTTGGGCAGCTCTCCTCCCTCTCTGGTTTTCAACACCTCCTCCAGAACTGAAGCAGAGATCCAGCAGAAGACTGGGATGTGGCACATGATGTGGAGGCTTCGTGAGGTCTTGATGTGGGAGATGATGGTGCCGGCCTGCTTCTGATCTCTGAACCTCTTCCTGAAGTACTTTTCCTTCTGTGGGTCAGTGAACCCTCGGACCTCTGTCACCATGTCCACACACTCAGGAGGGATCTGATTGGCTGCTGCAGGTCGTGTGGTTATCCAGAGGCGAGCAGAGGGAAGCAGCTTCCCCCTGATGAGGTTTGTCAGCAGCACATCCACTGAGGTGGACTCTGTGACGTCAGTCAGGATCTCAGTGTTGTGGAAGTCCAGAGGAAGTCGACACTCATCCAGACCGTCAAAGATGAACACAACCGGGAACTGATCAAACCTGCAGATTCCTGCGTCTCTGGTTTCAGAGAAGAAGTGATGAACAAGTTCCACCAAGCTGTACTTGTTCTCTCTCACCACATTCAGCTCTCTGAAGGTGAATGGAAATATGAACTGGATGTCCTGGTGGGCTTTGCCGTCAGCCCAGTCCAGAGTGAACTTCTGTGTTAAGACTGTTTTCCCAATGCCAGCCACGCCCTTTGTCATCACTGCTCTGATTGGTGCATCTCTTCCAGGTGAGGCTTTAAAGAGGTCTTCTTGTCTGATGGTTGTTTCTGGTCTGTGTGGTTTCCTGGATGCTGTTTCAATCTGTCTGACCTCATGTTCCTGATTGACCTCTGCAGACCCCCCCTCTGTGATGTAGAGCTCTGTGTAGATCTGGTTCAGAAGGGTTGGGTTTCCTGCTTTAGCAATGCCCTCAAACACACACTGGAACCTCTCCTTCAGGGTGGATTTGAGTTTACGCTGACACACTCCAGCAGGAGTTCCTGAAAGAACACACAACAAAAGATCATTAGGTCACACTGTAACTCTGGTTCTCTGAATAAAATATGGATATATGTTGGTCTCTTGAGACATCAGCAGATGAGACATTTATCCAGAGTGTTAAATCTCTATAGAAACCCTCTTACTGCTCTGCAGACGGTCAGCCAGCTCCTCCTGCTTCATGCTCCTCAGGAAGTGCAGTGTGATGTTCAGGAATTCCTCTTTGCTCCTCCTCTGCTCTTCATCCTCAGCCTCCAACATCTCCTCATCCTCACTCTGACTCACTAACCCTTCTGGGTAATCTGAACTCAGAGTCTTCTGGAACTTCTTCAGCTCGCTCTTCACAAAGGTGACGATGTGGTCCTCCAGCAGCTGGAACATCACATGAACGACACAAACTATAAACCATGGATCCAAACATCAGATCCGGACAGACTGACTCTCTAAAAGTGCAGCATGGAGATGACTGTGAACAGAAGAGAGGTAAAGTATCTGTAGTACATGTACTCACCGTAAATATGGAGTCCAGCTGTGTCTGATGCTGCTGGGCAGACGGACCACCGGGAACCTCCGAGCTCTCCTGGTCCCCTCTGTGGAGGAACCATGAAGCATTAGCTCACATTATGTCTGTCCACACAGAGACACACTCAGGGTGAAGGAGGACAGGGGAACAGGCTGGTGGTCCTGTGCGTCAGCGGGAACTTTGCACTACAGGAATATTTATTTCCAGCTACTGTTGAAGACCAGAGGATTCTGTCCATCCTTCATTCTGGTCTTCCTGAAACGTGGCTGTGTGGATAGATACTGGACTCTGCAGCTGGCTAACAGCTGTTCATCAGGAAAAGGAAAGACCTAGGGACAGTTCTTACACCAGCCCCCGTTACCCCCCCAGCTCCACCTCCAGCACCATAGCAGGGGTGAGGGTTCACCTGGCAATAGAGCTGGTTGTGACTTTGATGAAGGCTCAGTCTCCTCCATCAGAAGTGTTTGAGAGATGGTGGAACAGCTTCTGAACAGCCTGAGTTTTCAGATGGAGTTTCACTGCCCCTCCCAGTGTGGACGTTCACAACTAAACACTTTGGACAAGAGGAGGGGTCTGACGAGACTTTATACAAACTGGTTTTATTCTCTCATAACCAGACTCTTACTGTGAGTTACAGCTTACTTCTGATCAGTAGATGGAGGTCTTCCTTTAAAGTTTATGAAGTCGTCCTTCGAGGCGTCGCTCTTTAGGGACAGACAGCTGGGAGAGTCTGGTCTCTGCTGCTGGACCCTGAAACAGAAACAGATAAAACATTTGCGTAAATACCTTTTGTTTTGTTTTGTTTTATTTAATTCAGTAGTTTGCTCATATATACCAGCTACTGTTTGAAAGAATATGTTTTTTAAATATGATCAAAAGGGTGGAATGTAATGGAACATTTTATTTGATGATGCTGAGTGAGCATTCAAAGTTCACCATTATGTTCTTCTTGATAAGCTATTTCTTAGAAAATGACTCAAAGTCAGCAGTTAAGATAACCTCTATCTATTGTGAAAGGTTCATGACCTTTAACCTCTGAGGAATGTAGACATTATGGCTCTCCATGCAGCAAGCAGATGTCTCCTGAACATCTTGACCACTCCCCTTCTTCCTTTTGGGTCTGATTTTGTGAATATAAGACCCTTTGCAAATCTCCTGACTTATGTACTTCGCTGCAGACTGCTTGACACTCTGTAACGTTTTACCTTCTTGCAAGAATAAACTCTTATTTCAAGAATCTTCATTTCAGTATAACGGAAAGGTTTCCTCACCATTTTATTATTATTTGTTTGTCTTGGTTAATTTGCGCCACACAAGGCATTGTGGGACTGCATTTTCTCCTTTCCTTTCGTTAAGGAAGGTCCAGTGTTCCCTTAGCTAAAGGAGGTTATTATACCGCTCTCACTCTCCTGATTATTTGTCCCATTTATCAGGCCGTAAAACATGCTGGAAAAAAACTGCTGAAAAATATTTTGGACAAGACTTCATACTGACTAGTTTTATTCTATCATAACCGGACTCTTATGGCGCGTTTCCACTACAGCCCGCAGCCCGGTTTAAGAGGGCTGTGACGTCAGCGGCCCGATTGTGGTTGCGTTTCCACTTGGCCTAGTACCGGCCGGCGGGTCCTAATTCACAGTTTTTCTGGCCTCATAAAATCGTGGGGCCAGGGCCATCGACAACCGGGCTGAGTTTGTGACGTCAACGCTCTCGGCTGCTGATTGGTCGGAGAGAATCGTCACAATCGCGCGCGAGATAATCCCTAGCGTCGCATATATATATAGCGATGCTTGCAGCATTTTTACATACAGCATTTTTGTCAACAGAGGATTAACAATGGCAAAGAAAAGCACACCATGGTCGGTCGAGGAAGTCACGACGTTCCTCCATTACATTTCTGATGAAAAGATCCAGCGGGAGCTCGACGGGATGACTCGAAATATTAAAGTATTTCAGGAGGTGTCTACACTAATGGCCACAAGCGGGTACTCCAGGACTGTCGTGCAGTGTAGGGAAAAACTTAAAAAGCTTAAGGGTGAATATCGCTTGGTGAAGGACAACAACAACACCAGTGGTGCCGGTAGGAAAAACTGGAAGTGGTTCGACCTCATGAACAGCATTTACGGCCATAGACCGGCTAGCGGAGGGAGGGAGGGAGGCCTGGACTCAGCAACAGCGTTACTGGAGTCTATGAATGGTAAGTTTTTGCTAACGCTCTGTTATTTTCTTGGAACCTTTGTGTCCCTATCTGTTCTAAAGCTCACTTCTAACAAATAAGTCTATTTTATCCTTACATTTATGTTCGACAACCCATGGTTTTATGGAGCCCCGAAGGCTAGCTAGCTAGCTAAGGCAGATAGCATTAGCTAGAGCTAGTGTTTGCTAACACCACATGTGCCATTGTTTACGTTCAGTTTGTCTTTTCTATAGTTGTTGTTGCTATTTATAGTATTGTGCTGCAGTAGTTTGTGGAATTAACAAGTCATGTTTCTGTTCTAGATGATTACGTTTTGAATAACGAGAATGAACCAACACCATCCGGTGCATCGATATCATCCATATCGACAGCACAAACTCCAGCTCGAGCACAGACACCA